ACGATTCCCTCTATCGCAATGAAGTCTTCTCCCCCGATCCCCCGTTCCTAGACTCACGATAGGGTATCCTACCAACTTTGTTTCTCTTTTCACCCCTCGAATGGCAGACTTCGTTTTGACTCGAGTCTTATCATTTCCTACTTCATTACAAGGTCTCTGAGTGAATTTCAGTATTATTATTGGTATTACAAAATTAGAATTTCGCTACTCTGAAAGAAATTGTATCTATCGGTCCAAGTGGACCCAGGAGTCCACTGAGGCAGATTTCAAATTTCTTCCTCTTCCGATAGCATTCTTTGCATCCTTTGTATCCTGGAGTCTATGTCTAAGTATCCTACCACCCTTAATCCCAGGGAACCAGTCTCTTATCCTAACCGTGTGCATCGGTGTTTGGAAATTATAGAAGTCTGTTCTCGCGACTCGAAGGATTTCCCGTGGGCAACGAAAGGGCGTGACAGAGTTGGCAGCCATTTTCGTGAACTATAGCGAGTCGAATCGGCCACGAAAGCGTAAGTGACGGGCGCAAATTTGCCACAAGCCCGTGAATAGAGGCCACGTAAGAAGGTGTCAGACACGCCACGGAGAGTGATAACCCGTCAGTTATATAAATGTATTAAATTATATTCTATTGCGCGGACACGCATCGCGGAGAACGGGCCCGGACGTCTGGCTGATTGGTTAGGGAGATCGTGTAACAAATGTTTTCACGATCTGTATTATTCCCGGTCGCAGCAAAAAAATGCTTCTCCGTCTGCATCGCAGGCCGTTTGTCTCTCCCTCTGATCGCTCTCTCCTCGCTCTCCTTACCTCGCCGTCGCGTCTCATTGTTTCCATTATGATCGCCATAGATTCCCATGGGCTCGGGTTTTCGAACGATCGCGTTACGCGAAGACAAATCTACCGGGTTTTGCATTAGACGGTTGCGACATGCCGGTACTAATCGAACGTTCGCGAGTGAGATATCGTCGGGAGGAACGTTTTACATCGATGAAGCGTGTCTTCTGACATCAATGGATCGCCACCGACGACAATACTCGACAGACCCGTTGCAAAATGGAGGTTAGGTTACTCGTTCGCTCACCGATTTTCCATGTAATCGAACTCAGAAGAAAGTTCCGTCAGATTTCTTTTCAAACCACCGTCTCAATGTTCAACATGTGCTATTGTGTTCTTAGTTATTCAATATTCGACTCTAATACTCAGTCGATCGAGCACTTGCGAGAGAGCGTGGCCATCTGCTGGCGAGCGCGGGAACTGTCGCCACTTGCCAACTCTCGAATCAATACTCTATAACACTACATCATCGAATTATGCTGCAAATTATATTTAAAAGCTTCTTAATAAAAGAAAAAATATAAAACGACTTCAATGCGGTCCAGTCAGCAATAACTTTATAATTCTCTTCGAAAAGGCCGATAATTTCCACGTCACGGTTCGCTGAGCGTTTCCTCGAGCCTCCTCCTTCGAAATCCCAGCGTGAAAACAGACCTGTCCTCGGTTTGCGAAGACTCGGAACCCGGGCGAGCCGAAATTCTCGCCGACGAGATGCAAATTGGTGGGCGTGAAGGGTACCGCGGCGCGCATAACGGGGACGCGATTAAACAAAGCGACCGGTCAAACAAAGAGGCTAATCAAGGCCCACCCTATGGCACTCTTTGCTCAATTTCAATTCCGCGGCGGAACGCTTTGCTGTCAGCGCGCACGGCGCATGCAAAAGGCAGGGTCGTTGCGCGCTGACGTCCCAATTCTCCTCGCGTTCTTTCTATGCTCGAGACCCGGCTTTGTAGCGCCGACAGTTTCGGCTTATTTTTTCCATCCCATCCCCCGTTCGACCGCGGCGACCAGTTTAATGAACGCATTCGCTGCAGGGATTTGAACGGACCCGATCGAAGGGTCTCGTCCCTGCGTCCCCGATCGTTTACGCTTTGTTCGTACACGAATTGATCCGGCAAAATTTCGTATTTGATACGCGTAAATAGTTAATCAAATCGTGGGGGGATGGTATTTTCATGCGTAGACCTTCCAATAATAATTTTGAGAAGAAAATGAACAGGGTAGAGCAAGATTTATGGAGGACTCGTTGAGCATGGATGACACAGTGCTTCGAGAGATTCTATACTCGAAAATATTTATAGAGATGGGAATTCTCGTACAAATATGGGTGGATACAATGCAATAAAGAGTGTTCTAAGTTCTCAAATAATAATATTATGTGTCAAATTGATGATGTTTACTCCCACTTCAAAAAGACCAACTTCAAAGAGATCTTTTCGTTACATGTTTTAGCACAATGATTCAGGAAATGTAGTTGACAGGGATTAGGTGATCTCGCGCGAAAGTTCGAAGGAACAGACACTTCCTAGCGTCGATGAAAATCTTTTTCAGTGGCGGTGCAGCATGCAGCTGCCACCGCGGATCGAAACATTGATACATTTCGGTACACGTTAGCGGATCACACTCGCGCGGCCTGTTTCGCAGCTCCAGGAAAGACGCCTGGACTGTCTGTCCTGTATCCCGTTTCCGCGGAATAAATCACTCCACATTAGCACACCGAACCATAAATACATGACGATAAATCAGGGCCCGCCTGTTCATGCGAGCGAACGCATTAATAAACAACGTGTACCCATAAGGTGGACGATTAAAACCGCCGCGCCGGCACGTGAACCGCGGTTAATTTATGCGTGGACCCGGTTCCGTGTCCGTTTTCATCCCCCTGGTATCCCCGACAGGGATGCTTTCCCCCCCTAACGAGCCTTTTATGCACCTTACCCTTTTCCCATAAATTCCCACCGGCCAAATATTGGGACTGACGAGCCCCTATTATTCCGATCGACGCAACCCTCGGGACGTTCTCCGCCAGAACGGTGAAAATGATTGATACTGGCCTAGCTACCGACGCGAGACAATGGCTGATTTATGCTAGTTGTGCAACGGTTACTCGAACCGGTGTAAACAGGACGTTACAAATCGAAAACGCGCCTGTTCAAGCAGGGCGATGTTTACAGTATTTCACGGGGACGATGTTTAACCCCTCGACGTACCATTTGATTCTAATTAATTCTCAAACTTATACTGTTCAATTTTGTTTAAATGAAGAAGAATAAATTTGTTTTATTTTAATATATGAGGCTTCATGACGATTAGCCTTGTGATTGTGAAACTTGACATCAAGAACTTGCAACCCTTGTGTTGATAGCCAAAATAAAAATAAAAATTCTTGATTCTTTCCATAAATATACTTGCAATTATAATACAATCCTAATGAGAGGAACTATAGATCAACTTGCACTAATACTCGCCTCATTTGTGTCAAAACTCTCAATGATGATCTATCTGTTTACTTTCAGTTTGTATCCGATGCTTTAGACCATGATAATTGTAGTAATTCTCACTGATTTATTTTTCCGTACTTCATTGTATACTGTAATGGAGTTAATAAATAGTTATTATAATATCTGGACTCCGGAGGAGATTCCTAATCGCGGTGAAATTTCGGCGGCGTTTCCTGCGATAAGAGTGGCTCGTGGACGAGTAGGATCGCGACCCACGGCGTGGATGAGGGCGGAAACACGTGGGCGATCGAGCACATGTATAATGGTTACATCGCCGGCGTTCCCCTGCACGGTTCCCTCGCTTAAACTCCGATGTTTATGTGGTCCGGTGCAACGATGCGACCCGATATAATGCACCCACATCGCCGCCGGGGACGACGCACGCCACTTGTCCGCTTTGGTATTCGAATCCCGGGCGGGTAAGCGATCCGCCCAGATAGGCCACGCTGACGCTACGATGGCGTTCCGCGAACAACGAGCTGATTTTGCACGAAAGTATCTAGTTTACGGTCTCGAGTGGCCGCCGAAGTTTGCATTCCGTTGCCTCTCGATAGCCGACCATTGCAAAAAATACCGATTCCTCGACGTCCTGGAAGCCGAAGGACACACTGAAGACCTCCGAGCGAAGAGGATCTAGGACAGCTGTCTTCGAACCCTTTAATACGATTTAACTTTTGCAATATGGGGGATTGATAATAAGAAATTACTCAAAGGTTTTTGGAATTTTATATTATAAGTAGATTCTGATTAATTTGTTATGGATGTATAGAGCTGTTAGATACTGCTATTTTGTGTATAATTTTATCAGTGTTAATAAGAAATTTTCTCAATTGAATATTATAAAACCACCCCCTATGAGGCAGTGCTTAAAATAAATCTAAAAATTTCGATGTTTATATTTTATTTATTGATATAACATATTATACATAAAAGAAAATAGCTAGACAGTAAAATAATTTTGAAACATTACAAAATGGCCCTCCGACTATCCCTGTCACACGAAACAATTTTCAAACTGTATGAATCCTGCAATATCTGCAATATTAACTTCTTAAATTAAAAAGTTTTGTCACGGTTGATCCATGCACGGAGAAATTAAGTAATAAATCGGGTGGTTTTGGAGGTACCTCGGGTAGAATCGAAGATGGTGAATAAGAGATGATCTAACGTTCACCGGGTAGCATTCCGGTATTTTTCCAGACATTTGGAAGGATAGACACGAGCGGGTGGAATATAAACGACGATGCCTCCGGAATTAATGCTCTTCCCTAAAAACGTGTTCCCGTAGTTCATTGGAAGTCCTCGCGGTCGCTGCCATAAAATTCAATTTATTCCCCCTTGTTTGTTCTCACCGTTGGGGGAGATCGGCGTCGATAACAGATTCTCTCGGCGTAGGCCATGATTCCATAACAATATGGAAGAAGTTGGAACCGTTACTTCGCTTGTCCCCTTTGCTTCGAGCGCTTCCCGTTTCCGGAACCGTGGCCGCGAGCGTTAGACGCTTCTGGGAATGCGGAAACCCCGAGTGTTACGTAATTCAGGAATGCCGCGAGGTATCAAGCTAAATCTGGACAATGCAAATATTTTAACCGTTGTCGCGCATTAACGTTTAATCTATCGCCCAAATGTACCGGTTCGTGGCTCGAAATAGCACGTTCCGTGGCGATGCCAGTTTCTTGCAGGAGTAAACGGAAGTTGAGGGAAGAAGGACATTTAAACGATGCACTGCATGTAAATCGTCAATTAGAAGGGAAACTGTTCTCAAAATTTATCATTAAGTTTATCTCAAGCTATGTTCAAAAGTAAATATTGTAATTTTTGAATTGAATATAAATGAGATATTTAATTTCAATCAGAAGCTTGAAAGATTTATGAAGCAAGCTTCTCATTCAGAGTGAAGATGCAAATGGGTTAAGTGTACTTTCCATTTAAGAATCCATTAAATAATCTTTCAAATGTTCCCAAAATAATGCACGCTATTCAAACGAACGAATCCACACTTAACGATCGTAATCATAGTTGACTAATTTCTACGGTTTTGAACTTGATAGTTGCGATTGCAAAATGCAAGATAGCTCTCGTTTGATTTAATATTATAAATCAACCCCGTTGGCCCAGTTTCCCCGGGACAATCCGCCATTTATCTGTACAGTGGTGCCCAGAGACGCGACACGTCTGAGATTTCGTCGCAATATTTTCGTGGCTGATGAAAGGACTCTTCTGTTTTAGGGTCGGGGAGACGTCGCCTCGCTGGTCCGGAGCTTGCTCGGGCCGATTTACGGCGACGGCGTTATCAATCTGCTGATAAGGCAGGCCCGGGACATCCTGGTCTGCGCTTATCACGGCAACTTGGAGAACTTCCTCAAGACTTATCTCTCACCGGCCGCGTCCCTGCTCGCGGAAGTGAAGTCCGTCGCCTCCGAAACGGTGAGTCCACCTTACGATCGTTTCGAGTTTATTCGTTTCGCGCGAAACTGGTCCCCCCCGGCGGATCGTCCCGCCGGTTAGAAAAGGTGAAAGAGAGGAGAGAATGTCGTTCGACGGACGGATTGTTCCACGAAGCGATTAAAGTAATCAGTCGCGTGCTCGCGTCCAAGTATGGGCCGGACGACCGTGGATCCAGTTCGCGGATCGGTTGCGAAATCCGAGTTATTGCCCGTGGTAGCCGATGACACGGGCTTCTATTTATATAACGCGTGACCGATTTTATCGCCGATGAAAGCTGCGGATCACGCTCGGGGAAACCTTTCTCGGAGCTTTTCTACGCCCGGTTCGTTGCTCCTCGAGACCAGGTCGTCCAACGCTGAGCAATCAGCCATTTTCTCATTACTCTCGTTGCAAAATCTATTACAAGGTCCACCTGAATATTCCAAACGATACATCACTGTGTGTGCAACTCAAAAATAGTTACTCCTTTTACACGTTATTTGTTTTTTATTCGTGGAACACTTTCAAGGCTATTCGAGGGGTAACCTTATTTTTTCAAAGGGAGTTTTTATTCACAGATTCTTATTCTACACAAAAGAGCAAACATTTGTATAAAAGATGTAGTGCATCGGTTACCGGAAGCCAAAGGGTTGGTCATCGACAGCATCCTCCGTATCTCCCCTCCTAATCGTTTACACGTCGCCTCCATAGATTAGGTTACTCGAGCCCCGGACTGACCCTTTTCGGGGGTAGTTTTAATTAACGTTTACGAATCGACGAACTCCGCGATGGATTCGAGATGTCGTTCGGCTCGGTGCTCCCACGAACGCCCTCTCGAGACACCTAGTGCGACTGGCGGAGTCCTCGACTTAAATAAATTAACCCTCGAGAAGGCACGTGCTTCGACACGTTGGCAACCCTCGTCGCCTGGGGCCTTGGGGGATTGGAGACAGACCGGTTACCCGCAACTACAGGGGTTATTAGCGGCAATCATAGGGGAAAGGGTTGCTTCTTCTCCACAGTTCCGTCCTAGGCGCTGTCTGTCCCGCGTCCGCTTGTGTATTCTTGCCAGTTTAATTGGATTCCCCGGCGTTAACGACGAATCGCCATTCGGTATGTCTTGCGAATTAACCCTTGAAAGCTATTTCGAATCGGGGACGAAATTTCCATATGGATAGAAATTTATTACTCGTTGACTGCAAAATTTTGATTTTAGAGATTCATGAATCCTATTCAAATTTATTTCTTGTTCATTGATAATTCGAATACTGGCAAAGGGAGCTTATTTTCCCGTACATGCTATAATTTCTACAAAAAAAAAAGGTTTAATCCTTCATTATTGATATCAACAAACCGTCGTGAATTAAAATAACGCCATTTCGTTTCCCTGCATCCAACTCAAATAAAAAAAATATTTTCCAAAACCTTATTACATATTCTATTCACCCAAAAAATTTCATTTAAATCAGGCTTGCAGTATCGTCACAAAAAATTCACGAAATGAACCAACATGTTAGCCTCTATTAAGGCTCATAATTCCTCCATTCTCCGAATCTGTCGACCCGATTCTCCACAAACATCGACGGATTCTAACGTTTAGAATTTTGTTGCGTCTCATTAACAATCGTAAACGAGGTGTAGTTCGACGAGCACGCTACCATAATTCCTAATCGTAATATAGGCGATTTTCACGCGGCCGAGCGGGTCTGGTTTGGTCGTCGATTTCCAAAGCGGGCACGGGCGAGCGGAGCTCTCTTACAATAGAATTTACGGGTCACGGTGCGCCGGGTCCGTCCGATAAATTGCAAGAAAAGCAAATAAAGAAAACGATGCGCATGGCCGCACGACAATTTGGCAGATATGGGGCAGCGATGTCCACCGGTGGAAAGCGGAGCGGCGTCTGTTCCCGGCTCCTCGCTCGTTAGCGCAGAATTTCTGAAAGTAGGCAGCCAGAACCGGCGCGTTCTACCTAATATAGGCGAAGACCAGGGCTTTGTCAGTCGACGGACGCCGTAGCTACGAGATGAGATCCGGTACTGTCGATCAGGAAATTTGTCCGCTGTCGCCAGGCTCTTTGGGTACGTTTCGGGATCTCCTTCTTCGGGAATGCCACTTTGTTCGCGTCACCGGAACCGTTGTTAATAGAATCGACGGTAGGGAGAGGTCAACGAGAGGGAAGAGACGAAACGAACTTCGTAGGACTGGTTTACGCAGAACACGCGGGTCCGTGTTGCGGTTACGTGAGTTATTACTAGACCCGGGTACTTCTAAATACGGAATCGCGCGTGGAATTTCTTAAGGAGGCGCGACAAGGTGACGCAGGGTCAAAACACGGACCTTTGGACAGGTATGAAATTTTTCAAAGTCGTTATAAATATTGCGGAAACATCTCCGATCTTCTCTATGGGTCGTCTTTTTCCCGGGGATTCCAAAGGGATCTAGAATCGGTGTAAATCGGTGCAATTTGCCATTCGATCGATATCTTCGGTCGTTAAATACGACTCGAAGGAAAGGTTGTCGAATGTGCGTCCGGGAGTGAATTACCAACCGGACACGTAATTCGATAGAGCTCGTTTCGCCCAGGTTGAATCCAATTAAAGACGCGGCCGGCGGGACTCGTGATTCGTGATTTTCCGGTCCACCGTTACGAGCTAGGGCCAATGTTTACACCCATGGGTTTGCTTTACGACGAATCCGTAATCGCCGGTATCAACATAAACCGATAACAAGGTTACGGGCGCCTGTGCCTGTGCCGTAATAGTAATAATTTCTCGACAAGTAATGACCGTCGCCCCGTATACGGGGCGGCCGTGGATTTACGGAACGGGTTCAGGACTCTATCTGGAAATTGAACGGGGAACGTCGTGACAAATGTCCTTTTGCAATTTTGCGACGTTAACCGCGCGCCGATCTGTTCTGGTATTTTCACCTGGACGCGGCAGTAAATCTGAGGAAAGGCGCGGTGGATTGCGCGGGATCCATTTAGGGAACGGATAAATAATTTATGTTTACGGGATGTATTGACCCTTTGCGACCCGTGCCGGGTAAATTTTATTCGCTACGTATACGGAGTCTAGATTCGATCGCTGGAAAATTAAAAGACTTCGATTACAAATTGTTAACAGAAAGTTTTTTTTGGATATAAAAGTATGTCCACTATTGTTGCACTTCAGTACCATGATAGACGTATCAATTTTCTTATTATTAGTAAAATTCGGTGCAAATATATTTGGGACTGATTCAATCTGTTACTACAATTTTCAAGAATTTTTTGGGGGTAACTTTGAAACTTTTTTTAATAAATGTTTATGTGGTTCGAAAGTACATTCCTCGAACTATTTTTTGTGAAAATTTCGTGTAAAAATATTAATTATTATAGACATGATAGAAATTGACATGAGAGGCCTCCAAAAATGTGTTGTAAACAGGTGGAGGTGTAATTTTTCGCTGCAAATTCCAAAATAAGAAATCATGAATTTTTCTTAAGCTATAAAAATAATGAGTTATTATAAAATGGTGGAACTTTGAAGAAAAAACCTCAAAATCTGTGAAAAAGTCAATATTTCTTTTAACACCACGTAGGAACTGATTATTCGATCGAAAATTTCGTGTGTGCAACTGAAAGGAATAGTATTAGGAATCACTTGTTACTACAAAATTTTGAGTAACTCGAATGAAAATTGACTGAGTCATTGACCTGCCCAGTTTGACAAATTTTGAATTTTTCAATTCGTCACAGTTCCACCCTTAAAGCAATATATCTAACATATGGAATTTAATGAAAAACAGTTTGAGTAGTCGAGCTTTTTATAGATAGAATCCAGTTTGAAAAACAAAGATGAGGGATTCAAGTTTGTCCTCCACAATGTTTGGTACCTCCATTCAGAAAAGAGTTCATCTTGCCCCCATTTTCTAGAATCATCATGAACATAAGGTACGTAAAGTCTCCTAAAAGATTGCCTATTCAGTAGTCGAACCTCTCACACATAGAGTCCAATATGAAAAATAAAGATTCAAGTTTGGTACCTCCGCTCCAAAGAGTTCCAATTCGTCCCAAGCTTGTAGAATCCCCACTCACGTAATGAAATTAATTCTGAAACCATCCGTGTACAGTGTTTCGCGAAGGTACAAAAGACCCCGTCAGATTTAGACGCGGATCTCGAGTAGAGCCAGGACAGGGGATCAACGATGGTCGGGGAAGGGGGTCTGATGGAGAGGCTGCCAGGTGGCCAGGACCACGACAGCCCGTCCACGTATCCCGGGAGGGTGTGTATAGGTGGACGAGGCTGGTGGAAAACGGGACTGCGTGGTGAGGTTGGTATGCCGCCAAAGAATAGTAGTAGGTGTACCCAGATAGTACGGGACGGCGAGAGCATGACCATCGAAGACACCGGTAACGGTGCCTCGTCCGAACTGATTGACAATGATTGAAGGCTGCGGGTTTCGACTCGATACTGCGAGTCCAGGTTCTCCGAGGCCCGTGTAAACCACTGATATATATTTCTGCCCGTCGCTATCCGGCGATCTTCTTCTTTAATCTGACCAGCGCGGGTTCCGCGCCGGGAGCAGAAACGGGAAACGCCGGCCCACACGCGTCCCTATCCGATCGGTTTCGCGATCATCTCGATCGCGAGCCTTTCATCGTGCTCCTATAATTTGCGACTGATTAAATTAAGCCTGATCGTCTCGATATTCCAATAACCGTGGATACGCGGCGGTTGGTCAACAGCTGGAATGACCGACTTTTGCGACGAAAGCGTGGGCGGCGGCCACGGAATATTGGGAGTCCGACAATTGCCTGGGCAGATCGATACACTCGATCGTTCCGGGAAACGATGGATCCGGCTTCTAGATCCAGGTCGAAAACTACGATTTTCTGAACTCGGTACGATTAGACGCGATCGAGCGCAGCGGCCATTTTGAGGAACGGGAGAACTAGTTTGCGCCAAACGTTTGACACGCATGGAGAGTATGAATTGTAGAGTGAAGGGAGATTTTCC